CGCTCTGGGAGAATAGGCTGTACTGAGATGCACTTGCTCTGACTTAACTTCCAAAACTTTACTATCTAAAACTGCAAATAAATTCTGTTCAATCTTTCTGCATGCAACAGTTTGTTTCAGTTTAGAATTGTTCATTAAAATTGTCCCAACCAGCTCTTACCACTGGTCACTTTATAAAGTCTCATCTAGTGTCTTCACAAAACCCCTTTGGGTTCACATCAACATCATTTTGATATCAACAAAGTGTTTTCATCATAACAGTCAACTAGGACTCAGCAATCATTTATAGCACTTTTTGTCCCAAACCAGAGTAGGTCCCTCTAGACAAGTGCACTCCTTATCACTTAGTGATGATAGTCCAGAACATATCACTGCAGGCTCACCCGTAAATAAATGAGTCACATTCCGTCAACTTGTGTCCTGCTCTCCAGACTCAGTGGCACTGAAGCAGTTAGATCTACCTCTGTCTCTAGAATTTACATTTCCCTGGGGCAGGCTGCTGTGAAAAGCAATTCTTTCCCCTCGTGTCATGCAGTCTGCATGTTGTCTACTCACCACATTATATCTGCAGTTGTAGTTCATGACCTAAATTGCTACAGGTCAGGTTTGTTTTGCCTCTTCTAAAACAAATGCATACAGAAATCACTGAGGGTTTATATGCTGAAGACTAATGGCTTTTCTTTTGTAATATTTATTCCTTTGTGATATTGACCTCTTTTGAGATGTCTGTAAAATACTTTTCTACTCTCTTAAATAATAATACCCAGAGTATATACTAGAGCGATGATCAGCTTACAGTGGTTTTACTGTATTATTTTCAAACAGTGAGTAGAAATAGGTATCCAAAATGTAGTTGTGCAGAAAATTAAATAAGAAATAGTTTTAATTTATCAGAAGAATCCATAGATAATATAGGGATCAGAATGCATATCTATGATTCTGTTGAGCTCAGAACTTGTACAGAACAGTACAGTTGGCTCCATCATCAGGAAGTTTTTAAAATGACATAAACACTTGCAGAGAAAAATTTCTAACATGGTTAGCTCAGTTGCCTGAATGAATATCACCTTCTAGCAAGTGCTTTCTATTTTTCCATGTTAATTCTGTTGCCCATAACTGCATTGCTCAGGTTGAAATGGGCTGTGAAAATGAGGCCGATGTCTTCCCAAGGCTTTTTTACAGATTTGTAAAACTTCCTAACATTCTGCCAGCTCAGAGAAAATAGCCAGGTTAGCTTCTCAGGCACCCCTTGTTCATTAGCACGGAGCACTAGCAAATAGTTTTTGTGCAGCATCTGCTTGCCCTTCTTATCCATGTGCCCAGTGAAAGAAACACATTTCTTTATAAGGTAACTCTGCAGGTTTGGTGTTAGAGTGTTTTGAAGTACTGTACAAACGTATATTTAATTCACCTTCCCCTCCATGCACAAGTTGCGTTTCTTGATATCTTTACCCTTTTGTAGAGGACTGTATCCCAATATGATAAATAAGTTCAGTGTTATGACTGAAGAAGGGCTGAGGAAAACAGAAGCTGTGACATCTTCTCGAGGCCAAGCATACCTCCATCTATTGACATAAATGAATATATCTATTCTACTAAATTTACACCACCTTTGAATCATTTCTCAGTTTAGCTGAGAAACATCTTGAGAAACTTTTGTGCTCATTCTGAACTTCAGCTGTGTGAGCTTGACATGCTTTCTGTTCTGCAAGTAAGTAACCATAACATCTAAGTTCTCACATCAGCAAATAAAGATTGGATGTGTATCTAAAGAAGGTGCCTTATTTTAGTCAGAAGTCAAAGGAATTACTTTGTATATTACTGTCATCTGGCCTGTGTTATACAGAAGGCCAGACCAGAAACTTCAGCTCTAACATTTATGAATTGCTGTGTAAATTTGGTACCAATACTGAAACTGTCATTTTAAGAACCCACATTTTTTAGTAACCAAAATATCTATGCAAAGCATGGTAGCTTAACACTCTATAGATGAAAAATAAGGGTTTGACATATTTGCATTGTGGAAATAGTAAAAAACCTTTCCATCTCTGCTTCAAGTAATAGTTAAAAAATAGAAGTGAAGTTTTGCTAGTTTTCTGCACCATCATTATAGTGTTGAAATGTGTAATACTGAACATGATTGCCTCAAGGATCATTACCTAATTCTATGCAAGGTTATAGTAAGCTATGTGGTGTATTATACATACTCTAAGTTCTCATTGCATCTTCTTTGCATAGCTGTCCAACTCCAGGATGTGATGGTAGCGGTCATGTAACAGGAAATTATGCCTCACACCGCAGGTAAGAAACAACAGGAAGCCTAAAACAGGAAATAGAGCTACTTTTAGCTGTTGTCATCTTTGACTGATTTTTATACCAGCCATCACTTTATTCAAAAGTAATCTGCAGAAAACAGTCCATACAGAAATGTGACTGTTTTTGCTGGTTTTGTTATATTTGTGAAGGTCTGAACTCAATACACTGATACAGAGTTAAGCTACATATACTTCTCACTGTAGTTGCATTTCTGAGCTGAGACCTGCAGATAAGTTATTTAGTAAAGTTTGCATTTCCCTAAGTGCACAAGTACTCTCTGTACAAATGCTGTTGCATGCAATTTTAAATGAGGTTTCTGCATATCTCTCCATGAATGGCTTTGGAATTCACAGATCTGCTATCATAACCTTAGGATGTTATTTTCTTCAGAATAGTATACTGTCAGCCTAGAGGTTGAAACAATAATTTCGTGCTTTTCCTTTGGGAGCAGAATGGAAGTATTTTCTGCCTTTTACCAACCATGTGGTCCAGTTCCTCTACATGTTCTTCATGTATGAAATATAAGGGAAGGACACTGTGTACCACCGCCTCCCCATGCAAAGATTTATAGAGTCTTAGAAATCTTTGGCCTTAACCACATATTTTTCCCAGTAATTTAAGAACCACAGCCTTATATTGGCTGTTCCTCCTTTGCCAAGGGCAAATATTTGAGGGTATCTTTCTACCTGTTGTAAGTCAAATCATCTGGATGATGCTGTTTAGGAAAAAATGTTCTGTTTTAGTAAAGTATTTCACATCAGGGGTTGGTTTTTTTCAGTGTTTCTGGATGCCCATTAGCTGACAAGACATTAAAATCCCTTATGGCTGCTAATTCTCAGGAGCTCAAGTAAGTATTGATAATAACACAAATATTATTGTTTTTTACCTTCAATCAACATGTTCCCTATGTTGATGAAGTTGATATTGCTCTGAGCAATGTCAAACTTTTGTCCAAAAACTGAACTGATTTGGAAGCTTTTGAGTGAAATAAAGTTTACTTTTCTCCATTTGTCTTTCCTCTTGTCTTGTACCCCTTCATACTTGTGAAGTAACCAGGATCTGGGGGAAAAAAATTGTAAAAATTAGTAGAGATGAGGCTCTCCCAGTATTTCTAAATCAGAGAGAAATAGAAAATATCTAACACGTAAGACTGATCTGGCAAATAACTCTGTCTGATCCAGATAGAATAAATTAGAATTATTTAGTTAGAAATAAAACTAGTTAAAATAAATCTAAAAATGAGACTAGAATTCCTGCAAATCATTTTGTATTATTCACTACCCTATACTATGAGTTTAATGTCACTGAAGCAGACACCAAGTCATATGATTTTGTGCTGGCATAATTCTCACCATGAAATGTCACTTACAAAAGGACTGTGCAGGCTCTGCTATATAGACAGATGTATAGGGACATATGAATATTTCAAAAATCTGTAGTCAAGAGAGGCACTGGCAACCAGTCATCTAGTTATTGAATTGGCTTTGTCAATAAGGATGTGGGGAAGAGGAAAGGATAATTAGAGTTCTTTCATAGCTTTCCCTCTGCAACTTGTAAATTGGATCCCATAATAGATGGCTTGGAAAAACGAATGCATATAAAAAGGGGAGAATACCATGACTGTCCTTTCTGTCCTTTAGGTTCATCCCTAGTCCAGATAGAAGAAAACATAGTCTGATCATGGCACTATTATGTTGTTCTAATGGTACCAATTCCAGGAGGGACTATATTTAGTCTTGACTCAGTGTTTAGCTTCCCCAGATCAGATGTTAGTGGTCTTATTCCCTAGTCTGACAACTTGAAGTATAAACAAATTGCTGAACTGATGGTAGCTATGGAGTTGAACGTACAGGAGATGCAGCAAAATGGCAAAGAAAAGCTATTTATATAGGCAACTCTCCAAAGCAGTTCCCAAAGCCAGTAGGTATACTGGCACATTGGCACAATGCTTCAGTTTTTCCATCACTGATTCTCAAAGGTATTAAATTTAGGTTTAGTTTGTTTTAAAAACAGCAGAACAAGAAGCAAGGAACTGACTTGTGAAAATGCTGACAAATTTGAAATCATTTGCTGAGTCATATATATTTGTCCCTGCTTTTGCTGGCTTTCTGCCACACAAAGACACTCACACAAATATTTTGAATAGTTGCTCCTCATGCATCACCCCCCCCACCATATTCATGTGTGAATAAGGAAATTTGCATACCAATATGGTTATTTTTCTACTAAAGCTTCTAGAGTTTTGGTCATGCCATAAGGAAAGAGGAGCAACAGCATATGACTTAAATGACAAACTGCACACTGTACGCCATGTATAATAAGTGAGTTGTGAAAGACAAAGTCAAAGTTCATGGACATTTCACAGAAGAAATATGTTGCATAACGCACTTAGCATTTAATTTCAATTAACTAGAAAAAGAGCAAAAATCAAAATCTGTTCACAGACAATTCGTGAAAGGAAAAAGGGCTAAATAAAATTATTTTCCACAAATGTACTACCTTATTTTAGCTTCCTGCAAGCATAGTTCAGGTGAAATTTTGAATAAAACTCTGCTTTTGATAGATATTGGCTAAATGGAATCTTATGGCAAAACCTGAAATCATGCTTGCACTGGTATAGTATAGGAATATCAACAGTTAATTTTAGTATTGCTATGTGAGCAGAGGGCATAAATGCTCATAGAATCAGGCCAGGAAAGTACCCTTGTGTAGTTAGGCATGAATATGAAAAAGCTGTGTATTTTTTCCAAATGTTATTCATGTTTAATTTGCCAGAATCAAGATGTGATTTTGGCTTTAATGATGTAACGCTATGCCAGCAAAGATACAAGGCTTCCATGTGATCTACAGTTTGGAAATAAGGAAGATCTGTTCAGAAAGTGGGCCTTTGAGTCACATTCAAGAAAAATTTTATCTGAGGATTCTTGCTGCTCAGAGCAATCTACAGTGGTCAAATTAAAATGCACTACATTTGTTGATGAATCAGATTTTAAAGCTATAGTTCTGGCTGATTATCCTATTTCATCAAAGAGCTTGCTTATCAAGCATTAAAGAATTTTAAATGTGTACATTAGCGAGATATTTACTTACAGTTCAGAAATTTTACAGACCTGGTAGTCAGTTCTATCCTTAGACAAGTTGTAGCTGTGGTTAAATGTCAACTTTTGGAGATAATTCTAGTAGTTCTTCTATATAGATTCCATACAAAATGTTGATACTGATCCCTATTACATATACAGCATGACATATTTCAGGCAATGTTTTTATCAGATGACATTGTATGGGTTTGCCTTAACTACAGTTCATACCCAACTCTCACTGTGAGCTTTTGAGGGAGCAAAAGTACCAGAACTAAATGTTGATCTGTCTGAGTGTGGGACAAGACTGGGCACAATGTCATGTGGAGCAGGCAGCAAGGACATATGTGGCACTCTGCAACCCACACCTGTACCTTCACTGTCAGTGTGAGGCATGTTGTTCTGCCAAAATATTTTGTTCACAAAATGTCATCATGAAATGTTTTGACATTAACTAAGAAAAAGAAAAGAAAGTCACCCATTTCTTCATTTGAAATTATTTGCTGGATTCTACTTGAATCAGTGCATAAATTTGGTCATGTCCAAAAGAGTTCCAATTTTTGATATATTAATTGTTCGCAAAAAACTAGTTTTGAATATTCTGTGAAGAGATACACCTGCACACTCAGATGTGCTATTGCAATTATATTTGTAGGTGTTTTCCATGACAGCCTACCAATGACTAGAATAAATCATGCATCTCTTCAACTCAGGAAAGATCAAGTAACAACTGAGATCCTTAAAAGCATATATACAATGCAAGTTTCCTAAATGGTTCAGTACAAGAGTATTTGGCACAACTATTTTTGTAATTCTGATACTCTGTAAAAATCATAGCCTTCCAAAGTTCCTTAGGGTGCTTAGTATAAGAAGTTTGTGATGTATAACACAGAAACATAGAAAGGGCTGGCATAACTTCTAAAGGTAAATAAGTTTTGGTGCTGCTTTGTGTGACGAGGCATGTTTCTCTTCTCTGAAAAACATTCAAACTAAACCAAGCCAAATCACCTCACAAATGTACAATAGCCTTAAATATAAAATAATAATAATATTAAAAAATCTCTGAACTTCTGACATGGAAGGTGTTATCAGTAAGGTCACAGGAAGCACATTCTGCATGTATGGACAGCAAGGAAGGAGCCCACTGGTAAAAACACAGTAATAGGCAGGTTTGCTTCTATTTATTGTATGGATGTTTCTCTATTAAACATTCATACTTGAAAAGACTTGTTTGTTGCACATACACAGAGAAATCCCTTAACTATGAGACATAAGCATAATCCAATTGCCCAGCTGAATACCCAATTGAATCTCTAGTTAGAAAGAGATGGTCCTGTGGTGTGCTTTGAGTGCTAGAACATACAAATTACTAAATTCAAATTCTGGCTATCATCTCCTGATGCCCAAAAGTAAAACGGTTTCTCTGCTTCCATTTCCCCTTCTGTAAATACTGGCAAAGTGCTTATTTATATCTGTACCTGAAAACATCACAAGAATAACAAACAAACAGACACATAACAGTACATTTGCAAACAGATCTATATCAAGCTGCTTTTTTCCTTCTTTTGTAATGTTGATTCTGTACAAGGAAAAATGTTTAATGCAAACAGTGTTGTAAACTAATTAAATCTACACATCATAAGCAATATATTTCACATTCCTTCCTGAAACTGTGTTATATAAGAGAAAAAGCCAAACTGAAAAAATGAGTCTGCTCATTTAAAAATAAAACAACAAACAAATAACCTTCAAGAGCTAGTTATTCAGTAAAAGCACTGTTGTTCTTTCTTCCACCCTAAACAATACACAGAATGTAGATATTATTTACTGTGTATCTTTGAGGATATGTTTTGTAAACTCCCTGTATTATTCTGTAGGTGCCCAACACCTGGCTGTGATGGCTCTGGCCACGTGACAGGGAACTATGCATCCCACAGAAGGTAAGAAACATCCATCACATGGGGCTGCAGCACTCAGGGCTCAGCTAGCAGCAGCAGAAAGAGGTGGCTATTATTCTGTGTGCTTCTTTCAGCTTATCTGGTTGTCCTCGTGCCAGGAAAGGAGGTATCAAAGTGACCCCTACCAAGGAAGAAAAAGAAGACCCTGAACTTAAGTGAGTATAGGAGCAATGGTTCACCACCAGTGGAGGGGGGAAATAGCCTGTATGAGCTCAGGACTTGAGGGGTCTTAGAGAGGTGCCTGAATTAATCTGAACCATGTGAGAATAGTGACTAGAGCTGGGGCCAAACTAAATGTTTCTGCTTCTGGTGAAGTTGGTGGAGTCCATCACCTAGGAGACTGAACAGTGAGGAAACATTGCTATATCTGCTTGCATTCGTCCAATTATTTTAAACAGTGTTATAAAAGTGCAACTTGGTTGAAAAACTTGGCAAAATGAAAGAAAATTATTAATGCTTGTAGTGAGACATGGCAGCTAATTAAATCAGAGTGACACCTTCAAAATATGTCCCAGAGAACTTAAATATATGTATCTTTCATGTTTTCTCTATGTATAAATTAAAATCTCACTTAAAGTGAGAACTGGAAAATCAGCAGAGATTTTACTACATCCCTGCTTGAATGCACACTCCATTAAAATCTGTAAATGATAACTGCCAGAATACAGATATGAAGACTTAGCTGCATGCAATGTTGTCCTTAATACTTGCAAATGATATATGAGAAGCTCCATAACACTGACAGAGCAGCACAAAAAATCCCAAACCTTTCTTTGCAAATATTTGCATGGATTTGCACATAAGTTTTCCAGGTACAGGAACTCACACTCTGCTTAATACCAGAAACTTAGAGAGAGAGAGAAGAGAATGCTGAGTTTCCATAACTTGAAGAAGTGTGATTTATTGCCTGTGATAGAATTTCAATTTTCTTTTCTGGTAAAATTCTATCTGAATTAATATTTTAGCTTCTTAGTCTCTACAACTGTGTTTTAAGTTGCCTTATCCTAAGAGCAGCTGAACCCCCATAACTCAGCTTGACAAGAATTGGATGCTAGGTACAGTGTGCCACTAGGGACCAAGTCTTAATTCATTAATGCAAAGTAGCGCAAGCAGCTGGAATTATTTTCTCAGACTTTCTTGATGCTTTCTTTGCCTGCTCTTTCCAGTGAAAACTGGGATTCTTTTGCTGTGTTTCTGTAGATGTCCAGTGATAGGCTGTGATGGCCAAGGTCACATATCAGGTAAATACACTTCTCATCGCACTGCTTCTGGTTGTCCTTTGGCTGCCAAGAGACAGAAGGAGAGTCCCGTCAATGGGTCTTCACTATCCTGGAAACTGAACAAACAAGAGCTGCCACACTGTCCTTTGCCAGGCTGCAACGGGCTGGGTCATGTTAATAATGTTTTTGTCACCCACAGAAGGTATAACTTTGTGTTTTCTCTTTTCATTTTTCTTTAATGTTCCCCTGTTGAATTGGCAACATGTAAGGTTAGAGTCAGAATAAACTGTGCTGAAGACTTTTAAGTACTGACATAATTTACATTGAAGCTAAAGTAATACAGAACAGAATTAGTTTGAGAGACTTGGAATAATCTTTTATGGTTTCTTCTATGTTCTCATTGAGACATGATTTTCCAAGGTCTTCAGATTAACACAGTTCCTATACAGTTTAAAATGAAATGGAGTTGTTTCCTAGGGAAATATGGAGTTGCATCTGCAGAACTTTTAAAGAAAATGGAAATACCATTGAAATGTCACCAGAAAGGTTTTAGCAAGAGACACTTATTTCATCTTTCTACCAGTGGAAAAGTTGTTTTCATAGACTTTGTATTTAAATGGCCAGAGTCACACAGACACAAGAAAAAAAGCATGCACAACTCATATGGATTAAAGAAGTCTAAAGTCATAACAACCTTACAAAGAAAATTATCCTTACAAAGAAAGAAACACACATATAACCAACAACAATAAAACCCATGATTTTTTCTATCACTGTGAAAATGTTAGCACAATCTGACCACATTCAATCAATATTGCCTGAAGAATCTGGCTATAATATCTGAATTAATATCTTAAAAAGTTTAGTCTTCTGTCTTTAACAGGAATTGAGTCTACATTCTTTAACTCCTTTGCTTTCTTCCTAACACTATGAACCAACTTCTCCAATACAAGAATGTCCAAGGTGACTTAAACAAATTCTGTCAGAGTCCAGTGTTATTGTAATTTTATGATCTACATCCCATGTTAAAGACTCTACATTAGGACACTACTGTAAATTGGGGCTAATTAAGCAAATAGCAAAAATAGTATGCTACCTGTTACCTGTTTGCAACACATAATACAGACGATTCCTGTCCTACATAAGGCTGAATAACACTCAAGATCATGTTAGTTAAAATGAAGTAGTAAATATAGCTTTTCGATATGATATGTTTTTGTAGGACTTTTGAAACCTAAGAAGTAACTCATGGCTTTGACACATGCTTCCAGACAGCTATGTGCTCTGGGCATTGATAATAAGCAGCAACTCAGAACTAGAGAAGTAGCATCTTTCCTGTAGAGCTTTTAGCTAAGCCAACAAAAGTTTGCTTATCTTTTTTTTTTTCTCCACGTGGAAATGCCATGTCTGTTAGGTTTTTGTTTTTAACTTTTACACACGCACACAAAAATCGAACGTTTTGCTGTGGAACAAAATTTTCCTTCACTCCTTACTTGACTACATCTGAATACAAATCCTTCTGCCAGTTCTACAGCATATGGGTACTTTTTCTTTGTTATTTATAAATATAGTATTAAGACAGTGCAATTCATCTTAGCCCTTTAGTGGGCTATAAAAATTGCCTCAGATAATTACCAGCTGATGAAATTGTAAGCTTTGAAATAGCAAAATGTAATTTAGTGTGAACAGTGGTTAAAAAGCAAACTGACTATATAATAGGACCATTCAAAAAAGCTATTACAGCCTATAGGCTATATCCGGAGTTATTATTGTATTGATCATTATTATGTATCAACAAAATGATGCAATAATTGTGCACCATGGAAATCTTCCCATTAACTAATTTTTTTTTAGGATAGTAAACTTGCCATCTTAAAAGACCGTACTGCCCATCTCCTCTGTAGCACAATCCCTCAATAAAAACAATTTATAAGTGTTAGAACTTCAAGAATTCTGTAAACACATCTTCACATAACTTAACAGTAGCTGCCACTGCTATTTTGATTATTCTGAAATATGCTTAAGAGTTGTTTACTTATAGGCTGAGATTTCTGTGCCAATTTTCAAGCTGGAATATACAGTTAAATGGCTCTTTATGAGTTATGTCATTCCCTGAAGCTAAGCTATAATGGAGATACTGATGTGACCTTAGGTACAGAGGTCTGTCCAAGTGCATGATAATATTGCCTGAAAGGATTGTTGCCATTTTCAAGTGGGTGCTAATGTTTTTTTCCCTATCTGTTTCAGCCTGTCTGGTTGTCCTCTGAATGCACAAACCATAAAAAAGGGCAAAATTTCGGAAGAATTAATGACTATCAAGCTTAAAGCAAGTGGCGGTAAGGAGATTTGTAAAAGATGATGACATTTATTTAGATAGAAGGGCCCTGACTCCCATTTATGCTTATGCCCCTTTATGCCATTCTGGCATTAATTCTCACTCCTTTCAGTTGTCTCTAGCAATAAAAAAACTTGGATAACAAAACTCTTTGCATGAGAGATTATAAAATTATTCTCATGTACATCATAACTCAGTATTAAGGGTATGCTTTTGTCTAAAAGCATTACTTTTTTATTTGGATATGCTTTCAATACTGTTTTTATTAGTAAATTATTAGTTGCATATCAGAAAGACTTAGCTATCTGATGACTAAGATAAGAAGGAATAAAAATTGTGGGCAGAAATTGACTCCTCTCCTTAACTAGAATATTACATGGTTTAGTATCTGCACAGTGCTTGAGCAATTTTGCTAACCCAAGTGCAATGCAAAAATTACCAAACAGTTACAGGGGGAAATATGTAGGAGTCTCCTTTCTTATAAAACATGCTTTAGAAAGTTGGGCTTCGAGCTAGGATTCAGGAAACTTAGTCCTTAATCCCCAACTGCTGAGAAAAACGACTGTATTCTTGCTTGCAGACTTCCCAAGCTGGCTCTCCAGTAGGTTCAGTTCAGGGTTCTGCATTTTAAAACAGTTTCTACAACAGTGGCACAAATCTCCAGGCAGAGTTGGTCCCAGAGTGATACTTGTCAGAAAGAGAGACACGTATTGCCAGCAGCTGTAACTGCTCAGTATTTTTCAGGACAAGGCTTTCATTAAAGAACTGAAGTTTTTTTTCTTTGCTACCTAACTTGTGGGGATGCAAATGTCTGCCTTCCTTTCTTTCTTTCTGTAATGCTTGTTAGCTTTCTGACATTTTCCCTTTTGCTGTTATTTAAATTTCACTATTTATCAGATGTAACTAAGGCTGTGCTTGTTGAAGTTACTCTACTCAGAGGTTTGTCCCCAAAGAAATTCTTGTAAACTCAGAAGCAGGTACAGATATGCCTGCTAAAGTCAGCAATTATACTAGAGAAGATGTTACTCTCAGGTGTTCCCTGAAAAAGAAGTGCTATTGTTACATTTCTTTTAAAAGGAAAAAAAAAAACCCACACACAAACACTGTAAATATCCCCTCATGTTATAAGACAAACTTTCCTCTTTCTGGGCAAATTTTTTTTCTGCACCTTTCAGCTTGTAGTTGCATGATGCAACGAAAAAAATAAAGGAATTGTGAAACACAGGGACTAAGATAGCTCCTTCTATGTTTCAGCTTATATGCATGTTTTATAGGAAAAGATTTTGACAGGAAAAACAAAGAGACAATATAAGGATCAATCATTTGATGAAAAACTTATTATCTTCCTCTTGTTCAGTAAAAGGTAATGCAGCCTGTTACTCATACATCCATTTAGATGTGGACACTTTAAATCTGATATTGTTATTTTCAACTATTTACAGGTATTGAAAGTGATGAAGAAATAAGACACTTGGATGAGGAAATAAAAGAACTGAATGAATCCAATCTTAAAATTGAAGCTGACATGATGAAACTTCAAACCCAGGTATGACATCAGTGTGAAGGTTTTACTTTTTCTTATGCTATGTTTAAGCATGATAAATAAATTAAATGCTATGTAAATGCCATGTTTAAACACAGCTAGTATCCTGTGCAGTTTTTTCCCGTCACTTTGTGGCACTTATAAGTACCAAAATCCTACATGCTTTTTTGTCAAGCTCTTGTTTGTTTTCTGTAAATAAGCAGCAGGTTCCCAGGTATTGTCTTAAAGATCTGGTGAATGACAAATTCAGGGCAGTTTGGATCTAATCTTGCCAGGCAGGAAAAATATATATTTACCAAACAAAACATTAATTTTCCTTTGTTGATCAAAGGTTTGTTTACCAAACCATGCAGACTTCATTTTCTAGGAAAGATATTACCTGTTACTAGCACACTCCAACTCTTGATAGGAGTTGACTTTGTTCTTAAGTGTACCTAAGAAAATCTCCCTAGTTTAGTTCACCCACAGTCAATTATTCAAATAGTTTGAATTTTGCCTCCAGGCAACACCTGGTAAGGAATGTCTGCTTTTTGCTAATTTGTGTAGGGGAGGAGTTTGATGGGAACTATGGAAAAGAGTCATTCTCTTTCATTATTTTGTATACTGGAGAGATTAAATCGGCTTTAAGATGCTAATAGGGGCTCTATGGGGTGAGCTGTATAGGTTCATCCCTACAGAGGCTTCTACATGCTTCTGCAAGTTCACATGGACACACTGGGTAAAAGCAAGAGCAGAAGCTTGCTCAGTATTTTAGGAATAAGAGCCTAAGAAAAAAGTTCCTAAATGATATCTGGAAACTGAATATAAATCTAAACTGATCTATAATAAACTGAATGTAACGATACCCCTCTGTAAATGTACCACATTGGAGTGCATAGCACTGGTTCATGCTGATTTTGTAATAACCACAGTGAGTATGCTCTAAATAAGGGAGAATTCTATGCCACCTGTGCTGGAGCTAAATGATCTGCCTTCACACTGGAAAGGTTGTGGGGATATCCAACCCAAATTGCACTGCAGGGGGGCTGTGCTCTTTGCCTCAGGATACTTATTTCAGCTCTCTCTGGTGATCACTGTGCTGTTTGCACAGAAATTGCCCAATTTATGTAGTCAGATTTCTTCTCCTCGGAGCTGCTCTCCGGTGAAGGCAGTCTGACCAGCAAAGCCTGAACTGAATTACAGCAGAAGCAATACATCGCCTACCTTCTTTAAATCTATCCCAGCTAGGTGTTAGGCTGCTAGGAACACCCTCCAGACAAGAGGTTGTAGTGGATGGCAGGTAGACAAAAAGAAGTTTCTCACCCTGGGGAGTTTTTCTGTGTGCCTGTGCATGAGAAAAGTAAGTAAAGTGGCCACAGCAAGAGACAATTAAGTAGTGCAAAGGTGTGCATACTAATAAGGATAGGGTGGGCTGTGGCCGTAGTGCTCTGTGCCTTGCAGAGCTGTGGCCAAGCACAGGGGTGACAGCCTTTGTTTCTGCCCTGCCCTGCTGCTTGTTCCTGGGGCAAGGAGCAGGGCAGCAGGAAACCAGGCCCTGCCATTGCTGCCTCTGTTTTTTCAGCATTGCTTGAGATTTATAAACCTTCAGAGATTAGTATATTTCATAGCTCTCACACTAAAAAGATACATTTTTTCCTACCCGAGATACTTTTTCCCGCTCTTTCCAAAATTCTCAATTCCATTCTGTTGGTCAGAGATCATCTTTGCAATGATCACTCTGCACTCAACTTGCCAGTTTCCTTTCCACTCTATTTTTCTCTTGTTTCCAGTGTCAGCCCTGCTGCTAATCCCAGACAGCTCACAGCTCACCCAGGAGCAGGGCAGAAAGTAGTATAACAGCTAATACCCATGCCGGGATGATATAAGAGCAGGACAGCAATGTAAACGGCAACCTCCTTTCTCCTTCCCTCCACCAGCCCTGCAGCCATGCTCTCCATCCCAGCTACACACTGACATTCTCTCCTGAGCTCAATTCCCTCCTCCTGCCTTGGGGCATCCTCTGGTGCCTCACTGCCACAAGATTTCTCCACAAATCAGCAACAAAGTTCATCAGTTTAGTGCAAATACATCCTCTTCCTTGTTCTGAATATTCTGTGTAGAATTTGTATCTCTCTTAGAGAAACCCATAGCTGAGTTTCAGATCCATCATGGTCCCTCTCACAGTAGGTAGCCTGACTGACATTTTGGGTTCAAACTGCAGTTAGAGTGCTGCAAAGGGTCTGTCTGTCTGTGTGTTTGTGCCTGCCTGTCTTTTAGATCACATCTATGGAGACCAATTTGAAAACAATAGAAGAAGAGAACAAACTCATAGAGCAGAACAACGAGAGCCTGTTGAAGGAGTTAGCTGGCTTAAGCCAAGCCCTTATCTCCAGTCTCGCTGACATTCAGCTTCCACAGATGGTAAGAGCACAGCCAGCATCTTCGTACCTTCTTTGAGACTGTCTTGCCAGCACTTGGAGCAGATGAGCAACTCAGGGACCAGCAGGAGCACTGAAGCTGCATTAGCAGAGAGCTCTTTTAGCCTGATTTACTTTGCAGAGATGCTGGATCATGAAATCTGTGTGATAGCAGGCACAGTTGCTTCCAGGACTGAGCGAGCCATGGTATCTCTGCCCAGTGCCACACTGTGCAGGGCAGGCTTTTCCTTCATCCCTCCCTATCTGAACATCTACCCTGGGAAAACAGTGAAAACTTCAAAGACAGAATCCTTATTTGCTCCGCTCCCAGATCAAAACTTTAACTATTTCAAATAGGTGATTTTTCCAGACCCAGGAAAGCTCTGCCTTCTCAAAAACTTTACATCTTACTCAGAAACACAGGCCAAATTCACAGAGGTACTTGGGTTTCCAGTCCCCATTCCAAATGTCAAGAGTGCCATTTGTGAGACTAAGTATGGACAGTTAGGGGGAATGTAAGCCACAATCCCAGAGCCAAATAAGCCACAATAAAAAATCAAGTTACACTAATCACAATATCTCCAACTACTTTTCTTGCTTGGAGAGCATGTGAATCCCCCAGCACATGCAACTCCTGTCATTTCCACAACCCCTCCATTAATTTGGATGGCTGCCCTGTTCATGACTTCTCCCCAGTTGCCATATCACTCATTTTCCATGCTTTGGGGCTGGGTGTTTGGGATTTTTTTGGCCTTAATTTCTCTCCTACAATTATAATCTGTTTTGTCTTCATTTAGGGGCCAATCAGTGAGCAGAATTTCGAAGCATATGTAAATACACTCACAGACATGTACAGCAATCTGGAACGGGACTATTCCCCCGAATGCAAAGCTCTGCTGGAAAGTATCAAACAGGCAGTGAAGGGCATCCATGTGTAGGATGTGAAAGCTGCTGGGCAACAGAAATTACTTAACAGCAGTAAACTCCAGATGGATCTGTTAGGAGTTCATGTACTGCTAAGGGGTGTAGGTTGCCATGCTGCATTTACAATTGCAACATTGCACTAATTTTTTCCCAGCTGACATAAAAAAACAAAACAAAACCACAACAGACTATTTGTATTAACAGCAATGCACTCTGTTAGTATATTGTATTTATTTCAGTACAATTCCTTTTTTTTTCTTCTTTTGCACTCAGTTTTTGTAAAGTGAATGTAAAAAGTGTGTGCGACTATTTTTTATATTTTTTATTTATTTCTAATCAAAGAGTTGGTTTTTTTATCTTTTAACAGCATTTTTGCGGCCTGTCATATTTTTACAAATGTGTTTATTAATTTATTTTCCAATGGGATTTTAAATAGACTGAAAGTTATACTGTAAATTAAATAACTTGCTGGGTTTGTACAGGAAGAAAAAAAAACCTATGAAAGTAACAAAGGACTGAACCGTGGTTCTAGTTTTATTTTCCTCACATCCTGCTTTTTTATAATGGCTTTGTATCAGAAATGGGTTTGCAGTAACATGAGATGTGAAGATGCACGGAATGAGAAGATAAATGGTGCCCACTAGTGGGGAACTTGGGCTCTTAAAAGCACAGTATGCTGGAAAACAGTGTGTTAAAGAATACGTTAGCAATAATGAAATATAGCAATCAGCAAAGCACTTGACTTGGCTGCGTGATTTAGCCTATGCGAATGATTATTTAAAATGTTTCAAGAGAACTTCAGATTTATTTTACCACTGCAGTTTTTGTTCAGAGTTAGCTCATGGAGAGAAGTGACAGTTATCTCTAAACAAGAAGGGTAATTTGATAGGACTGGTACTTTTTTAGTACGAGACGTTGAGGTTTTAACCAAGTGACCAGTATTGCTATGGATTTGGATTTGAAAAATGCAAACACATCCCAAGCTGAAGGCTTTTTACATAACGAAACGAACACATCTCCCCTGAAATGGCATTTAATACTGGTTTGAACTTAACGGCAGCTGAGAAGGCAGCGGTCTGGATGGGAATAATACCCCTCCAGCACAACGGTGGTTGCTTGTCTCTTCGAATGACCAGTAGCAACACCGTGACTGGTTTCTCCCATCCTTCTTCACTAAGACTAGGCTGATACTGAATTTGTTACCAGTCTTTCGGTAGGGTACCAAGTGCTATAGAGCATACAGATAGGTGGAGGTGTGGACAGATGAGCACTTGCACAGAGGCGCTGGCGTGCGCCTCGGTATCTGGTTAGCCTGGCTGTGGAACTTCTGAATCCGTCAGAAACTAGCGGTTGCTATAACAGAGGCAATGTCTATTTCAGGGATTGTAAGTAATTAAGCATTGTTTCAAAAGTTTTTTTTATATTTATTTTTTTTAAGAAAAAGGTATAAACAACCAGCTAAACTGCCTTTTTTGTATGCACACACACCTCATGTGCATATGTGCCTCAGTGTAAATGTATACATGGATCTAGCGTGTGTGTTTAATTTTTCCGTGCTATAATGAAAGTGTTTATTTTTATTAGCCGCATTTATATTTAGATTGAATATGATGGCATTCACAGGCTTGACATATACAATTATATTATTACTGTTCCTGCACAAAAGTACTGTTCAGAAGTGATTCAACTCTCATGCACTGTGGTCACTGTTCTGCATTAGGTGGGGCTTGCTTTTTGTTGGGGGGTTGATTCAACTCTCTGACCTTAGTTTAGACAGGGGAAAATGTATGTTCTTAGGGGCTGTGTTTATTTTTAAATCGATTTTTCAAAAGCTACCATATGTGCTGTCTAATATAAATAGGAAAACACCAAACAAAAATTTGCTATTAAAGTTATTGTTCTTGCTAAAAACACAAAAAGCGAACATTTGTTATACTTGTTAAATGCATACAAAATGAGTTCACTCATTACAAAGACTAAAATTTAATTTACTAAATATTTTAACAAATTTGTTATATATTTTATTTAAGTAAAAAGAAAATCTCTTACTGACCTATGTATTTATTACTATGATTTATTATGGCTTCAGGTTAATTTAACTGTGTTTGGTTGTTTGCTCAGGATGTTCTGTGAAGTATGTTTGTATTTATTTGCCTCCCTTGTACTTGATGTGTTTTGTAACGTGCACTGGTTTTTTTTCTTTCTGTTTTTCTTTATTTTTTTGTGTTTAAACGCATTGATGAGCTATACTGTAAATTAGACCTTTTGTAAAGAGCAATGATGTATGCATTTTTTAATTTGGAGTAGTTTGTATACTGTTTCTTCATACAATTAATATTTCTTACATCAAAACAAAATTGTGTTCTGTGCTGTACATTTGGTGTATGGTAGGAAATAAAATTGATAATGAAATATTGCAGCAAGTTTGTTGGGTCTTTTAGCCTCTAGATGCCAACTTCTATTACACTTTCTTAACTGCACCTGGCACTATACAATGTGTCAGATGTTTCATTTGCTTTGTGTACAAAATGCATCATCCCTGTAAGTAAATTTCTGATATAAATAATTTAATTAGTGTTTTACTTTGTCAATTTGAAATTAGGAGGAGAAAAATAGAACCGCTTAGGAGGTCTTTTTCATTTCTGAAGGGGAAAAAAAAATCAAGATGATAATCACTGCATTATTTAATGCATTCTTTTCTTGGCAGTTGTAGACTTCATTTATACTGATAAAGTACAGGATTTGTGCTGACCTTTAACAGCTGCTAAATGATGTTTAAACATAAAAGCCATTGTAAAGTTTCCAGCAATTCGGAACCGCCCACTGTTCCAGTGCAATTTTCTGCTGAGAATTGCAGTGCTTAGACATTGCACAAATAAAAATCTGCTCATTTTAGAAAGACAATATTTCCAGTATCTAATGGACTTTCTTTTTTCACTGCTCGTTGTAGCAAAAACAGGCCAGTTTCATTTAGGATGTGTGCTAATGGCTCCAGGAGCATATCTTGTCTCAGAATCCAACTTTCCACAAAAAGAAAGAGAATAATTTAATTTAGGAAATAAGGCAAATTTAAATCCCGTAAAGTAGCTGGCAATTTTTTATTTTAATAGACATGTATAGATGAATTGAAATATAATCTGACGCTAAAAAAAATAAATTACATGTCCTGCATTTAGATACAACAGTTTCAAAATTTGTATCATGTGAGTTATGGATGCTCACAAATCTTGCAGAGGAGTCAGAAAAGGGCTGAGATAGCGACACACCTGTCCTGGGAAGCTAGTCCTCCACTGGGTTTCAGAGTTTTCTTTTCTCTTGGACTCTTACCCAAGGACATAATGAACTAGTTTTTAGTTAATTATTAGTTAATTAAGTAATACATGTTAATGAATATAACAAAACATTTTTTCAGGGTTCTTAAAACTTACTATTTAAATTTTACTGTGGCCTTACAGGTCAGCAGACACTAATGAGAGTCTATTCTTGCACATCACAGATGAAGCAGAAACAGGTCTCCCTTAGCAATGTGCCTAAATGCCAAACAGACATCAAGGCTGAGGTAAACATTTCATTTTGCCTGACTGCCTAAACTCAAATCACAAATTTAGAAGGCCTTATTGTTGGACACGTGGCTCTCCACATCTCATTTTTGAAAGATCTCTACAAAATCTGATTATCTGCTGTTTTTAAGACTGGGGAAAGGCATGAGGTATGGTATGAGGATGTTAGGATCTACATACACCGAAGAAAGCTATGCTCTATTCTTAAATGTTTCTAGCAATCTGAGACAGTGACTGATGAGCAAAGAAACACTTTTCCTAGTGGTTTTGGATAGGAAATATAACATCCACAATTAATTGATTAAATTATTATTATCTAAAAACTGTTTCTGCATTCATCTTTAAACAACTGGCTCTGATAATGTTTCAGTGTTGAAATTATGGCCTATCTCCATTAAAAAAAAACATTTAACCACTTAATCCATATTCATTATTAAACTAATATCAACCATGGGGGAGGAGGTGTATCCCAAAAAAAAGCAAAACTTCTTGTGCTTGAAAGAACCTTTCAAACTGTTTTCTTCTTCTGAAGTTTCCATTTCCAACAATTATTCTGCATCTATGCCTGAAGAAGGAAGAAAAGTACTTAATTCAGTAAAAATACATCAATTCCTTTTATTGAATTAACTTGAATAGAACTGGAGCTTTAAATATCAAAGAGAAGGAAGGGAAGTAAGAACAGTCAACATTCGTTGTCCTGACAGTTCAGGAAGCCTATCCTGTGTCTTAACTAATCATGATGACTTTTGAGTCTATGATGTAGAAAACAGAAGACAGATTCTGTTCCCTACAGCAATTTTATTTATATTTACTAATTAAGCATCTCTTCTCTCCTGCTGACTTCATATATCTATCTAGCTATGTCATGGCTTTTCTAGTCAATGTCCCTTCATCCTACTTACACTGTACTTTTAATAAATCACATGATTTCTTGATGGGAATTTGTTATCAAACAATGACAAAGTTTTGACAGAAGTTACCCCATTGGTTTCCTCCGACTGTTCTTTCAGTGCAATGCATCCTACCTGTCCTGGCATTTCTACTATACTTAAAGTTTCTTTATGATTTATCAGCTGTATAACTTGGATGTTGCCAGGAGATCTGTATCAGACAAAGCCCTTTGTTTGACTCACTCAGGATACTGTAGGATGATAGAGCTCCATTTAGCTTTTGTGTAATGTAGGACAGTGACCTAGATTCGGTACCTTTCAATATCTCATTCTGGCTTGGTTTTCTTCTGTCTCTTTTGCTCTAGTAAGTCTTAGACAGCCAAGCTTACACATAATTGCATCAAGGATTAGTCTGATTTCCTGTCTGACTTCATGGTACAAATTGCTTCAACTGCATTTCATTCTTAACGAATGTTCCCAGGGACATTGTCTAAGTAAATCTCAGGACTTTTCAGTTATGTGATAACAATTACTATTTAGGTTGCTGCTGCCTGCTCCTGAAACTGTTACTGCACAAGATTTTTTCAAACCAGTTTTTGGTGCCCAGTGCCATATTTTGGTGCCCAGCTTCACATCC